GGTTATATTTACTGAAAGAATCTTTATCTTTTAAAGAAACATGCTGAAGACTCTATATAGGATGTCTGAGACTTGTTTCAAAATCACTACAGGTGGGAGGAAGGAGGGAGTAGGTGAGGATATAAATAAAGCAAGATGGACCATGAGCTGAAAATTGGTAGGTACATGGGTTTCATTAAACTCTGCTCTTTACTGTTAAGTATCTTTGAAATATTCTAAAATATAGTTTATTTTTAATGCTGTTGGTTTGTAATAAAGCAAAACCGAGATTTTTCTCAGTTTTCTTTCTTAAAGCTAATGAAAAATAATAAGCAGCCTTCTCTCTCTCTTCCAGAAGCCCTGCGTAAGCCATCTCAGAAACAGAGGACAGTCTATAATCATTAGTACCAGATGCTCCTATAAAGCATGGTTAAGAATAGATTTGTGAAGCCCCCCAAAACAGCAACTTGATCCAAACCTGAGCAACTGACTCTTCCTAAAAAAGATATTATTTTAGGTTTGAAATGTGGAAGGTTCAAAAAGAAGAAAGAATTTTAGCCAAAGAGATACAACTATAGGTTTTATGTGGATCTTCTAAAAGGTCTACTTTTTCTTTTTTTAATTTCAGATTACTATAAGAGAACAATTAGGTTACACAGTATTTGCATTTGTTTGGTAAAGTCCAAGTTGTAGTAGAGCCCTTCACCCAGGAGGTGTGCCATATACCCTTAAATTATACCCGACAGATGAGAGCTTATCAATCCCCTGTCTTCCTCCTGTCTCAAGTCACTGCTCCCTCTCCCTCTCCCTCTCCCCTAAGAGGTCTTCTTTAAAAAGAGGCTGAAGTTCCTCCATCAACTCTCATTCTGCCCCTTAATCTAGACTGTGATGATTAGAACTTTAGCAGCTACCTTGGGATGGCAAGATGACAGCCGAACCATTAGGAATCTGGGATGGTCAGGTTCCTTCTCCACCCTCATGGCTTCTGTCATGTCCCACTCAGTTTGGGAGCATTCGCATGTGAGAGGTATTTTATTTGGTCACACACTTTTAAAAACAAATGTAAAATCCTAAATGTTACCAGAAAACTTCAGCTGTTCAACTTCTCTTGAGTGTAAAAGAACTCACATAATTTCATAGAAACCATTTGTATGTGAACCTAACAGTCTAGAAACCAAAAAGATAAGTTTCCTATCTGTGATGGACAGAGGTAGTCACAGGTCCCAGGGCAAATCTCAGTGGAGAGGTGATACTATAGATAAGGCTTCTTAAAAGAAGCTACCCTCCATTTTTAGAATTTAAAATGTATTCAAAAAAAAGGAATCTGATGTGGTGGTTGACAGAAGTGCACCTGGCCTGCCTACTTTCACTCTTCTTTCTATATGAAAGAAAAATAAACTTCTATCTTATTTAAGCTACTGTGCTATTTTTGCTTTCTTTTCTGTCATAGATACCCAAACCTGATCCTAAGTTATAAACATCCCTTCCCCTTGGACATGTATAACTAAACACCTAAAGAAAGTGATGTATTCAGAAGTTATTTTCAAGCTGATTTCTTGGAGGCCAGTGATATAACAGGTGTTCTCTTCAATGTATTTAATTTGAGCTTCTGATGAGAAAATTGGTGCAAAAGTGTCTTTTAACCTAAAAACAGTGCTAACTTTAAGAGGTGAAGAGGAGTAGGTTTCTGAACCAACCTATTTTTCAGATAAAACTATGAGAAGCATATAACATTCTAATACATACATACACACACCATAAAGTTTTCCTCCCTCTTCTTTACTAAGAACCAATAGTTAAAATACATATTTTTACAATCAAAACAGGCATGATAAAGACAACTGTTAACTTTTACATCAACAGAGAGTGAAAAAGAAAGTCATTTAACAAGTCTTGCCTCCCCTAATATGCAACTCCCCACCTACTAAAAGAAGCTGTGTGAGGAAAATTTTTGACACAATTAAGCTCTGAACTTCCCAGCAGTTAAAGATCTTTATCTATTCTCAATGTGTTAGAGACTAAAATATTTAATGAAGAATGGAAATTATTTTTTGTCTAGCCCTAAATTCTGAAAGGAATTCATCACTACAATGACAGTGAACAAAATATCACACAATGTATTTGATAGCAGCCCTATAAATCCAATCGCTATATAATCCAAGCTGGAATTACTGTGAAATTTTAAGAAATAGTAAGAAGCTAAGTTTTTAAGGGCAATACTAACACAGGTTAATTTAATGACTGCTAAGTACTTAGCTATCTGATTCCCCAAGGGCAAAGTCCGTATTTTATGCATCCTTATATCTCCACACAGAGATATAGCAAAGAAGCATAGCAACCTGGCACATAGTAGGTATTCATTAAATACTTCTTGAACTGAATCAGGCAATGAATTTACAACTAAGTAGTAAATAAACATTTGCTTATTAAATTTGTCTGCCAAAAACACTTTTTAAATGATACTACTTTGAGGCATGTTTACCCATAATATTATACATTTTTATGAAGATGCTTTCCTGAATTTATTCTATTCATTTGACACCATTATTAAATTAAGTACAACACAACTTTCTTGACTCATTTAAAAAAAATTTTAGAATCTGTTTCCACCAAATTAAATTTACTAGGTTCAATTAATTCAGTGTCTTACATCCCCTTTCGGCATTAACTTCACCTTCGGTTGAAAGCTAGAGCCAACAGTTAATTTCAAACAAGAAGACAATATATCCACTATGGCTCTCAGTTAGATACTGGTATGACAGGTCCCTTTACATTTAACCAAACTATTTTTCTCTTAAGATTAAGTATTGACTGATAGAAACAATATTCTTTCTATATATCATTTATATATATCATTTGAACTTTACAGGTTTATATAATAAGTAGGGTCATAAGTAAAAGGCATATTTAAGTAAAATATTTAAATATTTTAAAGACATTACAAAGAAAAAATTTTTTTAATATTTCAAAATTTAAGGCTGGGCATGGTAGTTTATGTCTACAATCCCAGTACTTTGGCAGGCTGAGACAGGAGGATACTTGGAGCCTAGGAGTTTGAGATCAGCCTGGGAAACAGAGCAAGATTCTTCTTCTATAAAAATTTAAAAATTAGGGTGGCGCCTGGGGTTCAAGGAGTAGAGTGCCAGCCCCATATACCAGAGGTGGTGGGTTCAAACTCAGCCCCGGCCAAAAACAAACAAACAAAAAAATTAGTTGTGCAGTGGATATATACCTATAATCCCACCCACTCAGGATGAGGGAAGGATCACTTAAGCCCAGGAGTTTCAGGTTGCAGTGAGCTAGGACTGTACCACTGTACCACAACCCAGACAACAGAGAGACCCTCACTCATAAAAAAAAAAAAATTTTTATTTTAAAAATAAAATAAATTAATACTACTAGTATCATTAAAAGAGCACAATTAGAATTAAATTGGAATGATTCCTAGGCAACTGTTCCCCTAAATTAAGGAAAAATAACCAAAATGACACAAAAACCTAAAGAATTTGAAACTAATTTTGTAAATAGGTTAATTTTAACAACGGTTTGGATTTTAAAGTCCCCAAACAAAAATGATTAAATTCACTGATAATGTTAACCTCCCAAAAAAGTAACATAAAAAAATAGCTTGTTTGACAGTAAAATACAGAATTACCCAAAGAAGTTAAACAGAATTACCCTATGATCCAGCAATTCCACTTCTAGCTATATATTAAAAATAACTGAAAACATGTTTTCAAACAAAAACATATATGTGAATGTTCATCACAGCACCAGTCACCATAGCCAAAAGGTATAAATACCCAACATCCATTAACTAATGAATGGATAAACAAAATGTAGTATATTCATACAATGAATATTATTCAGCAATTAAGGGAAATGAAATACTAATACATGATACAATGTGGATAAACCTTGAAAACACCATGCTAAGAGGCTAGATACAAAGTGCTACATAGCGTATAATTCCGTTAATATGAAATACACAGTACATGAAAGCCATAAAGACAGAAAGCAGATTAGTAATTTCCAGGGGTTGGGAGAAAGAGTGAATTATTTAATGGGCACAGAGTTTCCTTTGGGGCTGACAGAAATGTTCTGGAACTATATAAAGGTGCTGGCTGTACAGCACTGCGAGAGTACTAAAATGCCACTGCATACACTGGTTTCTTTTCAGATTATATAAACCCCTCACCTTTAAATGCTGCTACAGTTGCACACTTTAAAATTATTTACAAATAAACAATTACTTGTAAACATACAAGTAAATTTTATGTTATGTAAATATGATTAAAAATATTAATTCAAAATTCATAGTACTAATATAACATAAACAAAATTATCACAATTTGCATATACTTAAAATAAATGATCACTTTGTACCCTCAGGTGAAAAGTTTTACTAAAAGAGTTGAAGTATACACCAAGTATGTCCACATCTGTTCATTCACTGTAACTTACAATAGCAAAACAAAAAACTAATTTCCCAGTACAGAAAAATATTACTTATCTGATAGTATATTTTAACCATCTTCAAGTGAAAACTAAAAAGACTATGGGGCAATAATTAAAATGTTTCTAATATACTATTAATGCTGTTACTATCACAATGTTATGACACTAAAATGAGAGGGTGTTACATTTTTGAATACCTCTATGATTTCTACTATATGTATTAAATATGTATACATGTAGATAGAATAAAGGCATTAAGGCTAACTATCTATACTATTTTTCAATTTTTCATTTTATTATCACTTCAATTTCTTTTTAAACAAAGGTTTTCAGAGTGTTTTCCTCAATGTCTTTGTATGGTTGACTGAAAAACAGAAAGAAATTATTCTCACAAGAATTTTTTTAAAACAACTTTGTTTCGTTATCATCTTCATAGATAGTATTATTTACTAGTAACAGAAAAAAATGTTCTTTACTACAAGACTGACTGCTATATTTTTCCCTATAATCTCTAGACCATCCATAATACACAGTATTTAAGAATCCAAACTATAAAGACAGACCTTTGTGTAAGGGTTGTGGCATCATTAAGATCTGGATGAGCAAGAGAGATGTTACATCATGATAAAGAATTGGAACTTCAGGCTGCTGTTCTTCATTTCCCAGCCTAAAAGAAAAATGCACAGTCACTTTTGATAGTATTGTATATCTTTTCCTTTTAATTTATTTTATATTTCACATATACTTCTATGGA